CGCTTAGAAACCGAAAGGTCGCCGGTCAGATTCCGGCTGAAGGCTTCCTTACACCACCCCTAACTAAGCAGGGCTACCTTTTTGTTGACTGAACTTTATTCCGCGTGTTGCGTGACGAGGAATTAGGGTTTGATTCCGGAGAGGAAGCCTGAGAGACGGCTACCACATCTAAGGGTGGCAGCAGGCGCGCAAATTAGTCCTGACACGGGGAGGTAGTGAACAAAAATAGTGGCACAAAGCATATTGTTTTATGACTGCAATGAGTGAAAATTACATCGTTTCACGAGCAACAATTGGAGGGCAAGCCTGGTGCCAGCAGCCGCGGTAATTCCAGCTCCAATAGCATATACCTGAGTTGCTACAGTTAAAGCGTCCGTAGTTAGATATCAATTGGTTTGACGGCAACCTGTAAAGGGATGCAACTTAAGCCTTTGGCTTGTTACCTTGAGAAAAAGGAGGCGCCTAAGGCACGCGATATGTGTGAACTATCTAGCACGGAATAGCACATTTAAACTGTCAATAAACATGCTGAATGTTTGTTGATTAGGATGATTGACAAGGGCAGTCGGGGACACTTGGCCTTGCTGGAGAGAGGTGAAATTCTGAGACCCGGGAAAGACACTCAAATGCGAAAGCTTTTGTCCAGAATGTTCCTGTTAATCAAGGACTAAAGTTGGGGGATCGAAGACAATTAGATACCGTTGTAGTCCCAACCGTAAACCATGCCGACTGATCATTGGTTAGAAGTTTGTATTCTTTTCAGCGTTCGAAAGAAATTGAAGTTTTTGGGCTTTGGGGGGTGTATGGTTGCAAGACTGAAACTTAAAGGAATTGACGGAAGGGCACTGCTGTGAGAAAAAGGAATTCACAAATCACCTCTATATTAGGGAAGAGTTGAGAGAACAAAATTTCTAACTTGCCAAAAATAAAAATGTGAAACGTATCGGTTGCGTCTATCGACGCCCACTCCACTTAACACGGAGGCAATCTTATCGGTTGCTCGCACTATCTGTTCCTACCTGGGGGTCGGATCGGCAACTGTGGGACCACCGCTACTGGTACTACAAGCGGAACTGCTGCTAGAAGTGGGGTTCGAACCCACTCGACTTTCGTTCGAAGATTTTAATTTTTTAGTGGTTGTCGAACGAGACAGCCAGAAAGCTGACGCCCACGGTGGGTACAGCAAGGCGATTGGTGTGGTGAGTGGGGAGCAATGACAGGAGTGGTAATCGAACCGTCAGTTAAAGTCGTCGCAGATGTTGTGGTCGGGCGCCCACCCCACTTACCTACAGTGGCAATCGGTTGCTCGAACTATCTGTTTTATTTGGGGTTCGGCAACTGTCGGACCAACACTACTATTTCCACAAACGAAACAGCTATTAGAAGTGGGGTTCGATCCTACGTGACCACCGGCACGCACGGTGGGTGCGGCGCTGGTGTGTGTTACGCTTTGGTGCGGCAACAAGTCAACTCGCACTT